GCTGACACGGGGCACAGCATCCTGCTGACCGGGACGCCCTAGTCCCATTCTGTCCCTGGGACCCCCGCCCCAGCCAAGGAAGTGCTGAATGCCACACCACCCTCCCAGCTGGGATGTAGCAGCTCTCGGTTTCTTCGCCTAGTTTGTTTGTTCTTATGCTCCTAAGGTAATTTAGAAAAAATGATGTGCCTCCTTGCCCATTTTTAAGTTAACTCCTGAAATTATATATCAAGTCTAGATAGTGGAAAAGGACGCATGAGTCTGTCTTTCTTTCTTTCTTTCTTTCTTTCTTTTGTATGAATTTGACATATGTTTTTGTCAAAACTTTGGCACTGAAGATTTACCATATTAAATTAGTAGATAAAAGTCACTTTATAATTGGCAAAGATGGCTTTTATGGTCAGGCTGTCCAGCCAAGTTTGTCTTGCTTTCTGTCAGAGCCAGCTCTGATTTCATTTTTCAATTCAAATAAACATAGAACAGCTTCCGTACACCTCATGACAACCATCTCACTTCTAAAATACAAATGTTTAGTCCGTGGATAGACAGATAAGGACATACAACCTTGCCAAGAGTTCATTGCCTAGATGAACTCAGGGGACACCTCCTTTGCTATTTCTTGCCCTGCTCTCGTAGGATTCCTCTCAGCAGCAGAGCATCCCACACTGAGTCTCATCCCACACTGAGACTCAGGCGGGCGAGAGGCGTGCGCGTCTTTGTCGGAAGTGGGAGTGTGGCGTTCATACTCCTGGGAGCGGCTGAGGGGAGGGCCTGTGGGTCATAGGCACGTTCTCAGAAATGTCTGTTTTAAGAAAGGCTATATATGGAAGTGGAGGATCTGGACATTTATTCTCTTAAAATCACCCATGCCTAGTCCTGACTGGCATGGTTCAGTGGATTGGGTGGTATTCCACAAACTGAAAGGTCGCCGGTTCCATTCCCAATCGGGCCAGGCCCTTGTGAGAGGCAGTGGGTTGATGTTTCTCACACACATTGACTTTTTCCTCCCTCCCCCCTCTCTCCTCTCCTCTCCTCTTTCTAAAATAAATAAAATCTTTTTTTAAGTTGAAAAACGTTTCTTCATCTACTTAAAAAAATTTACCCAAGCCCAAATACCGCCTGGAAAGTCATGTACCACAAGGGTGTGTGTTAGCCCAGCTCTGAAACCACTGCTTGCAGACCCAGCGGCACTCTCAGACTGATTCTCTGTGACTGAGACCAGCCAGCCGGGGCTTCGCTCGTGGTTTGTCCTCACCGGTGTTGCACAGGGGCTGACTTTTCCACAGACCTGTCACATAGAAGGGCCAAAAACATGGAACCCAGCCTTCCTTTCTACTCAGTACCTGTATCTCATTATGTCTGGGGCTGTCAAAACAAACAAACAAACAAGCAAACAAAAAACCTCTCTAAGCAAGTGAAGAAGGCACTGTTGCTCTCCAGATGTTTGAAGAGCATTTGGGGATAAGAATGTACTTGCCCTAGGATGTAACATTTCAGATGCCAAAACTAGGAACATGGAGGAAAGTGAGGGGGAGGCAGGTGTTGCCTAGGGGCAGGAAGGAAGGTGTGTCAAAGGAGGGAGCCAACATTTTTAACCATTTATATCACATAAAGTACTGAAAACTTGCACAATAACCCTGTAAGGCAGATAACATGACTGTGAGGGAAATGAGACTCAGAGAGGCTGAGTAACTCACCCAAGGTCCCACAGCTCAGGAGCCACAGCAGGGACTTAAACCTGGGTCAGTCTGGTGACTTGGAAGCGATTGTGTGATGCTGTCAGTCTTGATGGTGAACACCCACTGTAGAATGGGCTGTCTATCTAACAGCCTCATTCACTCTCAGAACAACAAAACAGACCTTAAAGAGAACTTTAGTAACCTCTGCGCACCGTTCCCGCCGTAAATCCGAGTGTGCTGGGAGATGCTTCAGAGGAGGAGGAGGGATGGCCGGGGTGGAAGCCAGGTGACTTCCGCTGGAGAAGGTGAAGGCTTTATAGACTTCTGAAGATAAAGTCTTGTGGACGCAGAGCAGCTTCCCCACAAAGTGAAGAAAGAGATTTCGGGAGATGCTGTCACACTAATGATACCGTTAACCCTCCAGGAGAAACCACACACAACGTAAGCAAAGCTCTATGTTACAGATTCAGTTCAGATCTTTTTTCTTTTTCATTATTGTGAAAAACACGTTATTAATTAAGTATGAAAATAAACGTGCTTTTTTGAAGTTGCTATCCTGAGAAAAAAATTCCGCCCCCTCTCTCTCTGTCCCTATTGTGTCCGTCTCTGTCGATCCCTGTCTCTCTGTACCACTCAGCAAGTGAAGTCCAGGCAGGCACCTGCTGTCTGTCTGTCTTCCTCAGCGCCGTGCCTAGCGCCGTGCCTAGCACACCGCAGGCTGTCAGCAACACTCAGCAGATGGAAGAGTCAGTCAGGGACACACCAGTTCCAGGGTCGCATGCCTTTACACTATGAGATGAACTATAGCTTTCAGACCCAAGAACAGATCTCTCTCAGGGTAATGAGAAAAGATTTTATCCATCATGGCTTCTGACCTTTTCCCCAAGCCAGCTCTACAAGTCTTAGAGTAAAAAACCTGGCAACTCTAAAAGAACTTATTTATAATTTTATTATAGTCATTGGAGGGAGAGGTTGTTGACCTCTTTGTGGATGTGATGAAAATTATGGCCTCTCTCAGACAAAGGAATACACAGACAAAATTTTGTATACAATTTCAGTGGGTTCATGAACCCAGTAAACTATGCATTTCCAGTGAAGAATGCTGAAAAATGAATGGCAGCTAAGGAAAGGGCACAGTCTCCATGCCCGACCTCCCGTTTTTGAAGGAAAATTGACAAGAGAACAATAAGAGCTGGCTTTGGACATCATGCCAAGGGGGAGTATGTGACGCCAGTCCCAACTGTGCCTAGACTCTGGTGAGAAGCTCTCAGAAAAGGCCTTTTGTTTCCTTTAGGACAGATGTCACCGAACACGTGGCTCCTTGATGACAGCTCCCTGCCCAACCCTTCCCAGCATGCTCCCGCCGTTCCCTGATGGGACAGCAGTCAGGAAGAGAGAATGCTCAGGGCAGAGCTCTGGGGAGCTCAGGTTGCTGAGTTGGTTCTCTTGGCTCCTAGAGTTCACTTACCCCGATGTCAGGCTCTGTGTCTTGAAATACTTTCTCCCTTAGCAGAAAAAGTACTACAAGTCAGTGGCCTAGGACAGCGATTTTCGATGTTCCTCATCTCATGGCACACACAAACTAATCACTCAGATTCTGAGGCCCACAAAAAAAATACACATACTTTTTGCCAATCTGATAAAAAACATAGGTATAATTTTGATTCATTCACACCAGACAGCAATTGTTGTGTTGGCTTTTGTCATTTGTTTATTTGACAGTCGAAGGGAAAAGAAGTCAGTGCCCCTGATGAAATAGGTATTGCACGTTTTAAAAATTCTTGTGGCACATGGGTTGAAAAAATTCTTGTGGCATATCAGTTGAAAATCTGGCCTAGGATATTTTCCATTAAAGCCTTTCCCACGTGGAGGTGAAAGAGCACAGATTTTAAATGGACGCAGATAATCCCTTGTGAGATAAAAATGCCTGGGTTATAACTGGGAGCTGGTGCACCCCCGGCCTTTCCTCTTCTTTACTTTGTTCCTGCCTCTGCTCAGGGAAGGAGGTTTTACTCCCTTCCACCACCTTCTCGACTCCTTCGCACTCCATCCGGAGCACACACGTCCTGCCGTGTGATGGAGGATTTTACATCTCTCGGAGCTTCACCCTCTCCACGTGGAAAATGGGATAATGAAGACAATAGTCCCTGCATCCCGGGAGGTTGTAGGGCGTGGCGGAACCACTGAGGAGCCCTCAGCACACAGCCCTGGCACCCAGGAAGCACCCCATCCAGTTGGTTCTCGTTACAACTTTGACCGTGGCCACTGCAAGTATAGGAGGAGACACAGGGCAAGTGTGCTACTTTTGCCCTTTTTCGTGTTCTTGCTCCTGTCCCCTTTCTTCTTCTGGCCCTGCCTTCTTGCCCCAGTCCCTGTGTGAACAATGTTCTCTCTGAGCACCAAGCCAGGGAGGCTCTGACCCCGAGCAGCTGAGCTCCCAGCCTTCCTCTGGGACTCACCGCTCCTTTCTCGGCCACGGAGACATCACTGACATCTGGGGTCCTCTGGTCAGGGCAGTCACAACCGACTGCTCCTTCCTTTCGACTGCCTCCCGCCCGCCTGCCCTGCCTCCCTTCCCGTTGACTTACTTCTCACTTTTTAAAAACAACTGTTTACTGAACACTTCTATATGCCTAGCGCAATATTAGTGCTAGATAAACAGGAGTTAAATAAAATAGTATCGTTATTCTTTTATGCTCTAGTGGGTGGTAGAGGGGAGAATAAATACCCGTCACTCTACAGGATGCGACAAGGGCTATGAAAGACATGCTGAAGATGGAGAACGATCAGGGTCCTACTTAGACACAGTACCCTCTCTGAAGAGGTGACGTCTGAACCCAGTGACTGTCCCCGTGGTGCGAGTTGAAACCTTGGCATTATTCCAAGTGAGGTGTGCAGAATAAGAGCTTCCTTTCTGTCTGTCTGTCCTAACCATAGATGGCTTAAGGTTTAGGGGACATCAAACTCCTGAGTTTTATCAGAAATTTATTTTGTCAAGTAAGTTAAAAAATACTGTAACCCACAAGTGCTTGTTTAAGTAGCTGTTCACTTACCGTGTACCAGGCTCTGTGTATTTTATATGTATTGTCTCATTTAATCCTCCAAGAAAACAGGTTTTATCATCATCATTCTGGCTGGCGTCAAATAAAGCAGAACGTGGAGCGGCTCGGTAATGTGCCGCGGCCACACCGCAGCGCCCAGCAGTGGGGGGTGGGGCCGGGACCCTGGACGGCTGGTGGCAGAGCCTTGCCTCCCGCCAGAGACTTGGTCGCCTCCCTCCGTGCGATGTCCGAACTCACCTGGCTCTCCTTTCCCTTGCAGCGGTGCCAGTGAGGAAGAGGACACGTGAAGGCTTGCCGTTCCCGTGGAAAACCATTCCTTCCCCTCGTGTGTATGTGACAGCGTGTGCGTGACGGCTTCTGGTCTCTGTGAAAGCTGCCCGGCAACAAACGCCCTTCCACCGGACACGTCCCCTGACCCACAGCAGGCGCATGTCTCTCCGAGGGGCGACCAGTTCTGTGCTTGCTGACTGTGTGCTTCTCATGCTCTCGTTGTGTAGGTCCAGGAGCGGCACCCCTTGATCAGCCAGGAGCAATTAAGAAGGGTCCTCGAGGTGATTCCTCTTGGCTGCTTTGAACTTACTCAGGAAAGCCCACCCCTGTAATACTAGATACCCACACGGCATGTCCTCATCAGGAAGGGTCTGGAATAATCTTGAAGGGCAGTCAGAGTATGTTCCCTACATGCTAATCGGACCCCACTTTATTCACATGGAAGCATGAAACAAAGGAGGGCCGAGGAAGGCCGGACACATGGAAACAGTCTCCAGAAGTCCAAGTGTTCCTTCGTGGAAGTATGGTTTCGTGAAACAAGATGGATGACAAGATGGAGTTGGAGAAAGAGTTAAAATGTAGAAACGTATGGAGATATTTTTAGTACACCAGGTTATGCAGGACTTCAGATTCATAATTTAGTGCTGTGGAAATGAAGGAAAAATGATCGAAGAGCTAGAAAGGAAATGACCTTAAAAAAAAAAAAGGACCAAAGAGATCTGATTAAAAGTTGAAATCAGTGTTTCTGCACTCAAATTGCCTAAGCTTCCAAAATAGTCACTAAAGCGTCTGATGAAACCTCAATGATTTGGGTGAATTCTGCAGGTTTTCTGAATCTACTCACAGGAAAGGCTGGGATATGTATTACCAAATGGGAATTTTCAGTGTGAGTTTCTGCTCCTCCTCCCCCAGCTTAGCCCCGTCTGGTTTACATGCAGCGCGGGGAGAATCCTCGTCACTCGGGACATGCGGAACGGAGCCCCAAGCTCCGTCTGGGCAGATAGGACTCCCTGTACTCCAGCTGGAGCCCTCTCCCCATGGCTCCCGCCACAGGCCAGCCTCCACGTCCTCCGCCCGCCCCACTCTCCTCCGTGGGAGCACGAGCAGAGACACCTCATGGTTGGACTTCGGGCCTCTCCCCGCTCCCAACTCCCGTTTCCTTACAACCAGGTTTTTTCTGCTCAGATGAGCAGTGATGTCCTTGAAATACCAAACTGCAAGCTAAAAACCCTGCATCTTCTGGAACATCAGTTATACTTAACAAATAGTTTGGCGTCGGGGGGTGACCTTGTTTCAGATAAAACAAAGGCAGTTGTGTTAGGAAATAGAATGCACGTACACATCGGTGCAGTTGAGATAAAACGGGAGACCTCACAGGTAATTCTTATTTGCAAGTGGGGGCATGTGCTCCCTCTGCTCCGCCTCTAGTGGTATCGGGTGTTTGTTTTTGGGAAGTACAATTGCATCTGTGTCCTAGCCGCCTTGGGGCTGCTGCTGACTCAGGGCCTGGCCTGCTCGTCCCTCTGAGGCAGGACCCAGGAGCCTGTTCCGGGGGAAATCCCTCCCCGCATCCCGTCCGCCTGCCTGCGACTCCCCTGTACCTATCACAGAGTGTTAGGGCCAGCCAATGTGTGTGTGTGTGCGGTATGGTTTTGAGGCAGAAACAATACTTACTGTTAGGAATCCTATTTATATAATTGCTCAGTTCTGTGCATGCTGTTAAATGATCATTCCTTTGATGCCAGGAAGCTACCAGGGATATATACTTCTGGGTTAGGACCATCCTAGCTCACTAAATATGTCAGGGCTTGTTTATAAATATGAGAGGAGTTTGGGCTGTTAAGGAAAAAAAGGTGTTTTTCTCTCGAACTGGTAGCCAGCCAGTGGCTAAGACAATTCCGGTGCTTTACCTACCTGCCTGCAAAGGCTGGAGAATCTGGCGTCCCACGAATTACAACTCCCAACCACATCCAACAGGGCTGCTCTTACAGGAGACCCAGTGGTCGCTCTGAAAATACGAATTTAAACACCAGAAGATTTAGAAGACTTTAGGATTCGGAAGCTTGTGTTATCTTTTCCAAATAATTATTTTTTAATGTCTAAATAGTAGCCTTATCTTAGCAATGGACAGATCATTGGCCTCTCCATATCAGATCACCAGTTATTACTTTAAATCAGTGTTTGGGAAACCCAAGCATTTATTAAAATGTGCACCAGCCTGTCTCAATAAATGATCATATCCCTCTAGTCCTCAAGGAGAGCACTTTTGCTCTTCCTTAGGAAGGACTTCAGACTTGCTCTGTGGGTGCCTGCTGTCCTCAGCACCTGAGAGACTTTAAACAGGGCGGGGTGGGAGGGGTTGTTAAACACAGCGCAGCAGCCTGCCCAGCTCCCAAGTTCCTGCCGGCAGCATTTATCAACGTGAGAACTGGGGTGCTTCCTGCAGCGGCACCAGCTTCCCCCAGAGCCGGGGCTGCTGCTCAGCCCCACGCCCCAGCACGATGAGGCCCCCCCTCCTGCGGGTCAGCACAAGCTGTGCTCAAAAGTGCGCCCTGACTGGCTGCAGGCAGTTGCAGAAATCCCTGGGGTCACGTCATCAGGGGAGGCAGGTAGCGAATGTCTTCAGGATGAATTGAGTCCCATCACCAGTCCCTGGCTGCCTTCCAAATGCTGGGTGTCTGAAGGCCAAGAGGGTTTTTTTTATTATTATTATTATTTATTTGATGTCAAACTCCAAGAAATGCTTGGAGTCTCAGCTCTGACAACCAAGAAGGGAAATGACCTATATAGAGGCCTAACTGTGAACCAGGCCCTGGACTAGGCCTCCGTTTCCAGGTGATAAAACAGATTTGGAACGGAAGAGTCACTCACCGTGACGTACACAGCCAGGACTTATCGGAGCAGGATTTTGAATCCAGTCCTCTCTAACTCCGTGGCCCGTGGGGCACGTCTAAGTACAGAGGGAGAAAAGGTGCCAGGTTCCCCCACCTCAGTGCGACAATCCCATTTTATGAATTGTTTCAAAATTACATTTCCCAGCTGTAGATTGGGCTCAAAAATAGCATCAAAGTAGCCTTCTTCTTCCACTTTAGCAGATGCATTAAGTACACATGGCAAAGTTCAGACTGCCCCCAGGAGTTGGGGGAGCCTTTCCTTTTTGGTGCCAAACAGCAAAGGTGAAGGGTGTCGGCTCCGTAGCCTTGTTTGAAAATGTCCGCTGCTACACTGCTGTGGAAAAGGGAGTCTTCATATTTTAGTACACGTGGCCGGTTCTGAGCTCTGTGAGGACTCGGAAACCTGAAGTCCAGCGACTCTAGCCTTTCTGGCTGATACCTGATATGTGTACATAAATGACATTTATATACATATATGTGCGCACACACACACAGTTTAAGCACTGAAGGAAATTCAGAGCAGCCCCTCATTATTTTTCAGACCACTGCAAAGGTTTCCACCAGCCCTGATTCCAAGGGTCACCAGATAATCGGAGCTTAGGGGCTTACAAAATGCTAACACGCAGAGCGGCTCCCTGGCAAAGGTTGTCAGACCCGAAGGCACTGAGCCGAGGTGACAGCCCCGAAGGAAATGCACTCCAGCCCTTCCACCTGCAGGTCGGCTAACAGCACTGGAGAGTGGGACGCCAGGCGTGCTGGTGACCTGAGAGTGACCCGACCACGCCGGGCTGGCCCGCGGGCCCAGCGGCAGCATCCATGACCTGTAGTCATGGCAGGGCCTTGGAGTCCTCCTCCCCACCTGGAAAACGTTCTCCTGCCAGTACCTGAAGTTCCACATGCACGCACATAATGGCTGTTCAGTACGTGCTTTTTTATAAGGAAGTCAGTTGCAATGTCTCCCATGTGCCCAGCACATCTGGAATTTTCTATTTAAAAAACAAATCTATTAACAAATGGAGTCAGCCCAGCCCAGAGGGGAGACCCCTCATCTCCTTGCCTTTGCCCAGCCGGGTCTCCGGAGCCCCCACCTCAGCCTGCTCCGAGCACTGGAAGGCCCCAGCAGCTCCCGCCCTCTGGGGCCGGCCACGTAAAACAGGACCGTTTGGAACTGAGAGCACACCAGAAACACGCATCCGAGCAAGAAAATGGAAATGAATTAAGACAGTTGTGAGTATACTGGTGCAAAAAAAAAAAAAAAGAAAAAGGAAAAATGCCACAGAGCTGGGCCTGACATGCCCTTGAGGGGACAATAGATGGATGCTTAGTGGGAGTTAAACCCGATTAGTCTCTCTGCGGTGACGGGCCGCACTGCCCAGGTGGGGAGGGCCGAGGAACCCGCTGTCCTCTGCCTGCGTTCCTGTGCGGTCAGGCTCCCTCCTCGGTCATCTTCCCCTTCCACCCTTCCCATTAAACAAGGGAACACTCCATCTTTCAAGGGAACTACACGTTTGAGTTAATGTTTCAGTATATCATCTTCATACTGTAAATTATTTTGTAAGAGATTTACCGCTATCCCAGGATGTTTGGACTCAGCGCCCCTGTGCATTTGGAAATCAATAAACTATTACTGGAAATACCATTTGTCTCTTGGAATTGGGCACAAAGGACCCTGCTGGGCGTCAGCACTCACGGCAGTCTGCACTCTCACCTGGGGGCCGCCAGGGGCGCTGGTGTTCGGGTTAGTAGATGGGGGAGACTCATTTACCCCTGGTCCCTCTGGGGTGGCTTAGGGGGTCTCTGGGAAATGGCAAACGGACTGACTGAAAGTCATCATTGTTTAGAGATACATCGATATGTCTTCTTCTCAAAGTAAAACGATCCATGCCTAGGTTAAATTTTCTGAGCAAAGTAGAGTATAACCCAAAGAATACTTGGTCCTGAATGACATTTTCAAATAACAAAGCTTTACCATTTGGGTTACCAAAGGGGTAGGTCAAACTTGAATTTTTACTATATTTTCTAGGGAAAAAAACTTCACACAGCATATTACAGTTAGGCCAGCAAAGCCATTTTTGTGGAACCTTAGAAATACACATTTGATGTCACTGCTGAAGAGATACGATTAAGCCGTAAGTGAAGCAATTCCAGTCCACTTTGTAATATTAGGACCAGAGGTTGCATTGAAGCCAAGTCATATTCTCAGAGGCAAATGAAAACCCAAGACAGTAGATACTGTGTGAATCAGAAATTACAAGTCCTCTGCCTAAATTCAGGTTTTTTTTTAAAATCCAACCTAAAACCTATTGGCAGCTGTGCCTGGGGGAGCTGCGGGTTATGAACCCTGCTCTGAATTTCCTTATAACAAGTTTGTAGCTATCAGACCCATTTCATTAGCTGGGGCCTGGGTGAACTTTGGAAAAATTGTCTCAGAGGGTGATGGATCAGTCATTCAAGGTCACCCAATGAGCCACAGTAATCAAACCAGGACAGCAGACTCTCCGTCTCCTACAGCCATCACAAAGCCCTCCCTCCTCCCCCCTGGCTGCCGAGGACACTCCTGCCTGGTGGGATGGGATTGCCAAGCGCTGCGGCACTTGGGACTGTGGGGGTTTTAGTAAACCACAATGTGTGTGGGGCGGGGGGGTCTTCCCTACTTCCTGGTGCAGGACCACACTGCCGCATCCCATTGCCCCAGCCCTTTCTGCTTTTATCATCTTCCCCTCTGAAAGCTGCAACTCTTTGTTTCATTGATCTTTGCTTGGTCCAGCGTACAGGTGGCCCCATTTCCTTATGCTCATTAACGGACGAAATTGCAGCGTGTCTGGAACATCTCCTGGCTTTAACAAGGCACCAGAGGCAGACAATACCCAGCAGAAAGTCAGCCTGCCCATCTCAGTAAGAGAAGATGATGTCATAGAAAAGAAAAAAAAAGGGGGGGGGGCTGCTTGAAGTTAATAACTGGCTTGTTGAGTCTCTATACTTATTAAATATTAAAATCTCCAGGTTAAAGTCATTTTTTTGTTAATAATAATAGCTACCATTTTAGTGAGCTCTTTCCCTACTCCAGGTACCATTCCAGTTCCTTTCACATTATCTTATTTGTTCTCACAGCACTAATACTATCATCCCCTATTTTGTTGCTCAGGAATCAGATTCAGAGAGTTAAATGCTACGTCCAAGGTCACACCCTAATAACTTCGAAGCCAGGACTTAAACTCAGGTCTCGTAGACTACCCACCCCTGCTGTTCTTCCCTCCCAGCGGTGCCTCCTATTGGTGATAACGTCACCGCCCCACCCCCATACATACACAGGTGTAGCATGGCCTTGTGGGAGAGGAATGTGCCCTCTCTCAGGCTTTGCTTTGGACAGTCTACAAAGCCAGTGTCCAGTGAGGGAAGGAGGGCTAAGGGTAACAATGAAATCTTCTGACCTGAAACTGTACTTTCAGAAGGAGGAACTATTACACTTGCTTTATCTTCTTTTTTCCAAGGCCATTAATAATGAAATCACCAGGACAGACAAAGCCGTGTAACTCTCTTGCCATAGACTCGGAATCCCGAAAGTCAGCCAGCTTTGACACTCAGTCTTTAATTGAACATCTTGACGTCGTCTTCAGCAGCTTGACACTGGGCCAGCTTTGTATTACTGGAAAGGGACTGTGCAAGGAGCTTGTCCGTTTTATAGTCACTTGCTGAGTTCAGCCGTCATGGCCACGGCGCCCCATGTACCTGACAAAAGTGGCCGCAGCCTTCACGCCACCTCCTTTCCCTCGGGCTCAGCCCATCGGCTGCACCGACCCCTGTTTCCTGAATGTGAACTCCAAACCAGTGGCTTGACAAGGAGTAACAGAGACAGAACTAGGGAAATCTACCACCTCTGCTGCACCCATTCAAAAATGACAACTAGGAACTAAGCAAACAAGGCTTCTGACAGTTGGAATAAATGTTAGGAGGCAAACACAGAAGAGAAAGGTCATACATCTACCCGTCAAGCACCCACTTAGAACCTATCTGTTCCTACACCGCACATAACTCTAGATGTTTGATGTCTGGTTTCCAAGCTCACAGCACATTACATTTAAGGGTGAGAAACTGACTTCTAGAGGAGACTTAGGCCAAGAAGAAAAAAGCTCTAATAGAGAAGACAAAAAAATTAAGCAGACTGCAGAGCTCAGAAAGCAGTGTTGTGGGTGGGCATTAAGGGCCAAAGCAGCTCTGTATGCATCTCAGTTCCTGAAAGCCTCATCGTATCATTGGACAGTATAATTATATTCAAAATGATGACCCTGGCCCTGGCTGGCATAGCTCAGTGGATCGAGTACGGGCTGTGAACCAAAGTGTTGCAGGTTCGATTCCCAGTCAGGGTACATGCCTAGGTTGCAGGCCATGACCCCCAGCAACCGCACATTGATGTTTCTCTCTCTCTCCCTCCCTTCCCTCTCTAAAAAATAAATAAATAAAATCTAAAAAAAAAATGACCCTGAGCATCACACCTAAAAAAACTAAATTATACTCAGAAGACCGTTTTTACATATCAGACATTTTAGAAATATTTATATCACAAACAGTAAAAAAAAATAAACATCTTTTAGGGTTTAAAAGGAATAAACCTCTAGAGCATTTAGCTAAACAAAACAAAACATCTCCCTATCTGAAGTTTTATTATTCCAGGAGCCTCTCGTGTGTAGAGAGTTTTTCTCATAGCTTTATAAGTGACTTTCACGCCACGGTGCTTTGCATATAGCGGCGTGAACAATGGAAGTGCCGCGTTTCCGATGTGATGAGTAAAGCTAATAACCAGAATACAGGTCAAATTCTGTTACGACAAGTGCTGCCACTATAAAAATCATTTAAGCATCCCTGTTATCTCTAAGCCCCCATCAATTGCCCATTTATTTCAAGCAATAGTCATTCCAACAAAATTGGAGTATAATAAAAAGAAACTGGACCCTCACCACGAGTTGGGTGTAACACTATTTAACTCCTACTAACAGATTCGCACTTGTATTTCTCCAGTTCTCTGCTGCAAGAAGCACAAACCTTATGTAGACAGAATACCAGTCGGGGCAGCATGGTGTTTGGTAGTCGTTGCTAGGAGAAGAAAGAATTCAGGAGCAAAGGACACATGGGGTTGCGTGGCAAACCCTCCCTGGGGAATTTGGTTTCCAGGACCACTTTTGACCTTGATCCACGTTGGAGCCAACAACCACAGAGTCGCTGGCTTCTAATAGTGATGTAATGCATATATTAAGCCCTGGAATGAAGACATGATTCATTCCCCATGGATCACTGAGCGCTTTGTGGCAACCTGGCCCTGATCTGATGACCCCAAGATAAAGGAACCCAGAAGCACGTGACTGGCACTCTCCTTTGTCCCTGACGCACTGCTTCCAGCACTGCGTGATTGTAAAAGCACAGGCCACACGCATTCTGTGTAGAAATGGTCTAAGTTAATCAACTGCATTTCATTCTGTATACAGACAAGTTTTCCATGCCTGTTTATCTTTTGGTGATGGTAAGGATGACTTGTGCCATTGGTTGCAACATTTTTTCTTTTCTTTCCTTCCTTCCTCCCTCACTCCCCCACTCCTTCCCTCCCTCCCTTCCTCTCTTTCTTTCTCTTTTATGTGAATATTTTTTACAACTACATTGCAACCAACACTTTGGGACAACCCTAGCAGCAGAAGGGATTAAATCATAATTCTCTTCTAAACAGTTTAATCTGCAATAGGAAAAGGAGGGTGAAGAGAGAGGGAAAGTACCCACCTTTCCCTGCTGATAACGCCTGGCTCAGACCCCAGAGTCACCTCACAGTCTGAAGAAGGGTGTGCATTCTGGGCACCACCCCGCTGGAGAAGGCGGGCAGCACCCCGATGACCTCAGGGTGAAAGGAGTGGTCCACTGGGGTCGTGCTGTTGCAGAGCATGCTCGCCTTTGCTGCCGTCTCCCCCAGCCAGAGGGTAGCCAGACCTTCACCCACCCCAGATCGGGAAAGCAGATCAAGAAGAGCTCGAATGCTTTTCTTGGCCCTTGAAAACCTTGAGTCCAACTGTCATTCTCTGGCTTGAAGGCGGCCATTTGTTGCCTCACCATTTCATTAGAACACCTGGAGACTGCAGGTGTTAACTGGAAGTAACCTTTCCATATTTGGTTTCTCTGCACACATTGGGGCTTCCGGGGCCTTTTGGACCCAGTTGGATGGTTATATCCTAGTATCAAATTCAGCCCGTTCTAAGGGGAAATCACCATGATAGCAAAGCAAGATTCCTCTCGTGCTGGGTGGTATATGTGGTATCAGTGGGGTAGTTGTGAGTGGAGATGATAAAGAAACCACTGAAAACAATAAAAATGGGTATTTTCTTAGCACTTAAACCAATTTTCCATTTGGTAACAGGTGGGTCCTGATCTATTTGCCCCAAACTTCCTATTTTTTTTAGAAGATACTGGCCTGTCTGATCAAAAAATGATATTCTTTCTGAGCTCATACCTCGCCCACATGTGGCCTGTTAATTTACCCAAAGCTGGGTTGCCTGTTAAGCCCCACACCCACCTCTGGCATAAGGACAAGACACGTGGAAGAAGAACTCGCTCATCTCGGGGTCCCCTACTGCCTGTGGTTAAGAGGTGTAAAGCC